TTCCCATGGAGCGGTGGGCGAGTTCTCACTCTGATGTTGGGGTGAACATCACAATGCTTCACCCAAACCAGACCAAACAATCTCACTCCCCTAAAGCTGATTTTGACTCTTTGGGTCTCCCAGATGGCAAATACAAAGGTGGCTGCAACAACAGGATCAAGTATAGGAACAATGGTGAGGTGGGTGCAGGACTGGGCCGTGCTTCCTTCGGTCATATTGTGTATCAGAAACCACTGGATGGCACCGAACAACAAATCTTGACAGAAGTACACAGCCTCCTCTTGCCTCCGAGTGGCTTCAAACTGCTGACCTTGAAGTTAGCAGCACAATGGTAGCCCACTAAACCACCAGAGCTAAAGGCCAGGGATCCTTAAAATAATAAAAGAAAAATCTTCCATGATGGCACCATTTCTCTAAGATTTGGATGTGCTCCTTTATTGAAGGAAGTATTAGATTTGATCAAGACTCCTGGCAAAACTGTTTTTAGCTGTGTAATCCTTGGGTAAGCTGTGTTATAAATTTGGATCTGACACTAATTAGCTATAGACATAGACCCTAAGAAGAAGTAAGCTGGAAAATCCTTCAAATTGAACTCACTCCTTACCATGGAGAAGACTCTGATTCATAGGGACCCTGGAGAACAGAGTAGGATTGACCACACAGTTTCCAAGGGTGAAAGTCTTCATAGAATCCAATTGTAACATCCTTCTCCTGTGGAATTAGTGGGTGATTTTGAGCCAGGAGCCTTTCCATTAGCAGAAGAATTGCTTAACCACTGATGCATCTGAGCTTCTTTTCCTCACTGTCTAAAAACTATTATTATATTGTGTTCACAACCTGCACATAGAAAATAAATTGAATAATAGCTCTTCTAAAACCATGAAAATATATATGATTTTTACAAGAGTGCTATATGCCCCTCTTATAGTAAAAAGTCTTATTTCTTCAGGTGTACACTAAACAACCCCCAAAATAACAATTTAAAATATAATGTTAGCTTTTCGAAGCAATTTATATAATATAGCAACCTGCATATAAAAGGTCTTATTTTATTTCCATAATGTCAATTATTTTTAGCTTATAAAAGAAAATATAGTGCACAAGGTAATATGAAGAATGTTAAGAAGAAAATTATCATTTGGAGACAGTGTTATACAAACCCTATTAAAATATTACTATATATTTAAAAAATTTAACACAGTGCAAAAAAAAGTATGATACAGTAACACACACACACACACACACACACACACACACACACTCCTCATTGCCATCGAGAGGAATCTGATTCATTCAGACCCTACAGGATAGATGACAGCTGTCCCTCTGCCCTTCCGAGTCTATCAATGTTTATGGGAGCAGAACGCCTCATCTTTCGCCCTGAGAGGGGGTTGTGAACATGAACTGCTGACTTGAAATTAGCCACCCAATATGTAACTCACTCCACCATGAGGGGTACTAACAATAGCACTTAGCATCTTTGAACTACATCTTTAAGCTAACTAATTCAAGAACTATTTAAAGAATACTTAGTATGTGCCACGCAGGATATTAACTGTTGGGGAAATCACGGCGGATCATTCTGCCAAAGCCCTTACATTCTAGACTGGGATGCAGAGACGCTGAAGGGAGGGGATGGGAAAGAGGAGGAAAGAAAACAACAAAATGGATAATTTGTCCGAGGTACAGAAGAGAGAGAGAGGAGGCTAGATAATAGGTTATCTTACTGATGAGATGAGAGTTCAGAAGCTACTTAGAGGAAAGGGGAGAGAGCTCTGTGAGGTACGAAATGTCATGGCAGACACCTGCTTGGCCTTGGAATGGAGTAAGAGATGCAGTTAGAAATATGTGTGTGCATGTGCCCAGTTGCTTCCAGCCTTTCTGACTCACATGTATCAGAGTGAAACTATGTTCCACAGTTTCCCATGGCTGATGTTTTTCAGAAATCGATTGCTAGACATGCTTTGTGAGGTACTTCTGATTGGACTTGAAATAAGGTCTTTCAGACGGCTACCAAGCACGTTAACTTTAACGAATTGCTCCAGCCAAGGACTGTGCTGTGTGTGTGTATGTGTGTGTGGTGTGTGTAAAATCCATTACCTTAGAACTTATTCTAACTCACATAAACCCTATAAGACAAAGTAGAACAACCTGATATCATTTTCAAGACTGTGTATCTATGGAAGCAGACTGTAACCAATGTGACAGTTCTCTGTGGAATGGCTTGCAGATTTGAACTGCAGACCTTTTGTTAAGCAGTTTAGTGCTTGGGACTGTTATTTGAAAAGGATATGAAAAACCACCTTAAGGGGAGGGTTTTGTGAGAAATGAGAACTCCTTGGAAGCTCCCGAGCAGAAAAATGCCATAATAAAAGTTATGTTGGACCAGAATCAATATGACAATTGTATTGAGAAAGACAGTTAAGGGAACAAGTGAGAAAGGAGTAAATCAAATTATAAGCACATTGCTAAGAAAGACATCAAAGACGGTGGTACATAGCAGCCGTGGTAAATCAATGGTTTCTGGTTATATTTTAAAAGTAGCCTTAGTGGAATTTTCTGATTCATGAAAGAGACATGAGATGGGTCAAATGTGTCTGTACATTTCTATTAATACCCCATTTCATGCAACATATGTAAAAATATAATACATTATGGATCCAATCAAGGTTTTAATTTTCTGTATTGAAGACAGAAGAGCCATGGTGGTGCAGCCAGGTAAGGGTTGACTGCTAACTGCAAGGTCAGTGGTTCGAACCCACCAACCACTCCACCTGAGAGTCTACCCCCATAAAGACTCAAAAATATTATGTGGAGTCACTATGACTTGGAACTGACTTACGGTTTGATTTCAGTTGGGTACTAACCACAAGAAACACCTTTGAAAGAAAATTTGAATGTTACATTGTTTCTTTCTGGATTTTATGCTTTCCAATATTTTATGCCATATCTAGTGGTTAAGTATTTTATTAGCATGTGTTCACACATCAAAAATTCTTCTGTCATGAATCTCTTGCAACCTGATTTTTTTCCTGTAATTGTGCTTTGATCATAGTGAGCTTTCAAATATTTACATACCGCTGAACTGTTAGTAAATTTTCTTTAATAACATTGATCATCTGTGTATATTTTCTGCTACACATAAGTAGCTATATTTTCTTTAATGTCAGTGATCACCTACTAGATAGCATGTGCAATTTGTTTGATAAGTTAATAAGAAGTGGAACAATTGTACAAAGGAATTCTGAAGACTTTACCTTTAAGCATTTTAAGTTTATGGGAGAATGCTGTGAAGGGTCATTTTACCTTCTTGCAATGAGAACGAAATGAAAAATGTAATTGTTATTTGGGGCTCAGGTGAATTGAGAGGGCACTATGAATTGTGTTCTCACCCTCTTGGGAGTCGCAGCTTTCTTCAAGAGTATATTGCAGCATATAAATTCTTACCTTAGAAAACTGCCCTGTAGACTTTAGCTTACAGTTTTAGGAGACTCGGCGCTTTCCAAAGACCTCAGGGTAGCAGGGTGTGTATACATGATTAAACCATTGGTTTGCTGAAGAACCTGTTAAGGAATATTCCAGGTTGTAGGGCAAGGCAAGGCAGGGCCAATGAGCTGAAGCCAACTCATGGGCATCTAACAACAAACAGGATTCTTCCCTAGAGTTGTACCCATATAAAACCAAAAGACAGGCTAACTGGGAAATTCATGAAAGATTTTGTGCCCTGCACAAAGTGTCTCCCCTTTCACTATAAAGCAGTGTCTGTGTGTGTGTGTGTGTGTGTGTGTGTGTGTGTGTGTGTGATACAGACAGGAAGGGCTGTGTGTAGTTAAATTGATGAATACTTTCGGCACAATTTTTTTAAGAACAGGAGGGCAAAGAGGTGGTGCCCTTTGCTAAGAGGACACTTCTTCCTTCTGATCTCTGATAGCCTCTGACCTATGGAAATTTATGGGAGTCCTGGGAGCAGAGTGGTTAGGGTTTGGCTGTTAACCAAAAGGTCAAAGGTTGAAAGCCACCAGTCGCTTGGCAGTAACAAAAGATGTGACTGTCTGCTTCCATAGGTTTAGAGTCTTTGAACACCTGTAGGGCCACTAGGAAGTGGAATTAGCTCAAAAGCAGTGAGTAGCACAACTTTATGGCTAATGGCATTTGAAATGCTGCCAAACACAGAAGTTTATTGGTCAAAATCCCCCTGGTATTTTTTTTTCTTTTCTTGTCTTCTGCTCTTGTTATTTTAAGATAGAAGGAAAGCATGTGACACTAGTCTCATTACAACTGTGTTCTTTGGGCTATAACTTATTGTGAATGATATCTAGCAATTTTAATTAAAATAGAAGTTTAATGAGTTTATATTGAATCATTTCCTCTGGTCATGAAACATTTAGATGGTATAGTACATGGATGGAATTCTGATAATAATGCATTGTTATTTAAACACAGATTAAACATTCATATTTAAACACAAAGTTGGGACCTAACTTGATATTTAAAGGCGAGAGAACTAAAAGTTAGGGCTAAGGGATAAGCCTCTACCTTCTCTTACATGAGTAACGTGCAAATGAGGTGGAGAGAGTGGTTAAGGAAGGAGTTTCCAGCATCTTCTCTCTGACTAACATGACTCTCTCACATCATCCCGTGTTAAGAATGACTGGAACTAGCTAGAGGCTCTTAAAAATCATCCCATTGCTACTGTTTAGTGTTATCTTTCCCAACTCAATGACTCTTTAACTTCGGATTAAATTTAACTGAAATTTCGAATTCACTTTTACTTTTTCTTTAAAGTCTTTTTTGGTTTTGTTTTAATATGATGCTTTTGTAAGGACGCTTTGTGTTAATAATCTGATTTAATTTTTTTCCCTGGACAACACTTGGAACTTATTCTTACGATGAAATCAGTGTTGACAAATCATATGTAGATCTGTTGTTGATGTGTAAATTGAACATTATTCCATGAAAGTCCAGCAGAAACAAAAGTGTTTATAAAATAATAGATAATACAGCGCAATAGAAATATTTTATAAGGCATTTTACATGGTTTCTCTTTCAATCATTATGATAAGGGACAATAAATATCAAAATAACACCCAACTGACCTATGAGATGAGAGCATTAAATATTTTTTAAACAAACACAATTCATTTTTTCAAGTTGTTGCAATGTTTAATAACAGTTTGCTGTTATTTGTACTGTTTGATGTGCTTCTTCATCAGATACAAATTTCAGTAGGGAAATAAGCAAACATTCCTAAAAATGAATTATAAACAGCTGTGTCTTAGAATACTAAAAGGATTTTAAAACTTTCCATTAAGCAAAGTTAATATTTTCCCCTAATTGAAAGAATGGAAAAGAAAAGTGTAGACACTTCCGTGGGTTGGAGGGGGGTGTCTTCAAGATTCATGCCCCCAAGGTCATGTTCCTCAGCAGCCACTGCTGGGATCTGCTGCCACTACAGTTCTGCATGGTAGGCACCATTTTGTCTTCTTCGGAAGGTTCATCAAGACACTGGTTGCTGTTCACGTGTCTCAAGGTGAGTCTCTGTAAAAGATAAGCGATAATCAGTGCAGCCTGATCCATTTTAACGCCCCTCGCACATGCGATTCACTGCTTTATTTTACTTTAGCATAACAAACCGTGCGTATAAAAAACTGTGAACAGGTGGCTCTGAATGAATTATTACACAACTTCAACTGCTATGGTTTCACCATTGTTTAATACACCTTTAGTTCCAGATGGTTAAAGAAATTGGCTGACATTTATCATTAGCTGCCAAGAATCCAGGCTCCCTTGCTAAAAACCTCTTTGTGAGCTCAGGGTTCAGTTGAGGGCTGCAAATATTAACAAGCTTCCTAAACAGACTGGTTTTCTTAGGCATGTGTTAGTCAGTAACCATTTGGTAAATGCTCAAATGGATGTCACAACTGTGACCCAAATTCACGAAACTGCTAGTAATATTCTTATTTCAACGCACTCCACAAACCATAGTATTTGTGATTGTGAGACATTCCTTGTGGAAGAGTCATTATCATAGCAACAAAAAATTTGTGTTACTTCAGAGTGTGTTCACTATATTTTGGTTTATATTATGAAAGATCTTCATAAATATAACTCTGTGTCAAATAAAGACAGGCATGTGATGGTCATCTATTTTACATCCAAGATTTACATTCTAATTTTTTTAATAACAATCTTTGTCTCTGGACCCAGATGTTGAGTTGCAGTTCCGATCATTGCATCGCGCTAATCAGTAATTACATGACTTCTCTTGTGTTCTCCCTTACATTATGAAATAATACTTTTGGGCTTTATAAAGATATTTAACTCACTGTGATTTCTTTCTGTGTACTAGGTGTATCAGTCGAGTTTTACAGAAAATATCTAAATAATGTGAAACAGTCCCCACCCGGTATCGAAGACAGTGATTGTCTGGGAGGGCAGTTGTAGGTATATATTGAAAAAAGCACTCCATAGACTTCTACTGCAAACGACTGAAATTAAAGATGGGCTAGGATATATTTCGTCTCTTGATATTACATGAAAATGGAATGAAAAGAAACATTTCAGGAGGCACTCAAATAAAATTGTGGGGAAATACATCCAAAATTATTGTCATTTGCTTGGAGTAGGACTGAAACTACAGTAGAATACACGTCTGAAAATAAAAAATGGAGAATAACCTTAGGAAGAAGATATTTAATAGCAAAGAAGCAGGAAATTAAGGGTCAAACTATTAGATGTGAAAGAGATTTCAAGATTGAAGCCTTCGTCGTTGTTCTTTCAATACATTGAATTACACTTTCTAATCCTAAGACTGGAGAAAACAAGAAATGGCCAAAGACAGTAAAAAAGATGGTTGATTTATTCTCATGATACTATAAATTGAACTAGCTACCAACTTAAAAAAAAAAAGACGAACCCAAACCAACACTTTTTAATAAAAATTTCTAGCTAAAATCTCCTAAACATTCTACATTCGTGTTACATACCTTTCATTCTTTGTGTCTACATCTTCCTTCCAGGAAGCCCCTTACTCGTGCTTGCTTCTATTCATTCCTTTCGAAGAACGACTTAGTGATTTCATATACTTAAGTATGCCATTGCCCAGGGAGCTGTTCCAAGAAGCACTACTCTTTCTTACTTTAATTGGATCACCTCTAATTGTAGTTACTGGCTTTGATAAGTTCAAACTGAGTATGTGCTGTTAATTGTACTGTTTGTGCTGGTAGCTTCCACTGAGTTGGGCCCTGACTCAAGGAGATATAGTGCGTTGGAGAGAACTATTTCTTAGGGTTTCCTTGGCTGTAATTTTTAAAAATAGTTTCATTGGCATGTGCTTGCCATACCATTTAATAATTCAGCCATATTAAGAATATTACAGAAAAGGTTGGAGTCTCAGGAATCCAGAGAGGCAGTTCTGCCCTGTTGTATAGGATCACTGTCTGGGATCTCCGAGTTGGAGTTGACTTGATGACTCTTTGGATTCGGAACCAGTGGGTGCGTCCAAACCACTACCCTTCTTGGGTTGGTTAGCAGTCCAATACGTGCCTCTTGTGCCACCAAAGGTTATAAATATAAACTGTACATCTGAAAACAAGTCAAATCTGGAGTTTCTTTAAGTGCAGATATTCTTAAAATTGTGCATGTTCCCTTGAATTCCTGGAAGTTATTACAAAAAATATTGTCCTCAGTGAATATGAAGCTATCTAGCCAGGCTGGTTTCCACACCAGTTGAGTGTGGATTTCATACTTTTGCTTTGGGCTACCAGAAGGATGTACAATTGGCTCAGGAAATGCTGCAAGTTCTCCTTTTGTGAGATACAAGCTATGATCTTTGCCTGAGTATCCTCTTGAGGAGACTGATGTTTTCTGAGACTGGATGTTTATTTAAGCCTAAGAGAGTAGTGAAGAATTCAGGTGAGGCAACAATTATTGCACACCTTAATAGAAAAGATGGTGGTTCAAAGCTAACCGGTGTCTACAAGAAAACAACATCGACTCTGCTCCCTTATTGTTGTTATTAGGTGCCGTTGCCGGAGTTTGGACCTCTAAAGACCCCATGCCCAACAGAATGCACACTGCCTGGTCCTGCACCATCCTCACAATGGTTCCTATGCTGGAGCCCACTGTTGTAGCCCCCTGGGTTAGTCCATCCTCTGACAGTCTGCCAATCACTTTACAGACTTGACTTCACTGATAGACAAGAATTGGCCACTCTGAGATAACCTAAACCAAAACAAGGCCACCGTCACCTATTCAATCCCCACTTCTAACAACCCTTGGGTCTGTGAGCCTTTGTTTCCGAGACTTCTACAGGAACTGATGCGTTTCATCTTTCTACTGTGGAGTTTCTGGTGGGTTTGAACCACTGACCTTTAAATTAGCAGTCCACTGCTTACTCGACAGTGACACCAGGGATAGAAAAACCTATGGGGCAGTTATAGTCCGTCACATGAGATCCCTGAGAATTGAGACTTAGAAAACATCAAGATCACAAGCTGTAAATCATACCTCCCAGCTATGACTGAGTTTGGAGCTTTGGTGGCTTATACTGTGGGATAAACACTGGACTGCTATCGACAAGGAGAGTGGTTCTAAACCACGTCTACTGTCAACTCCCTTAAAGATGTGCACTCTAGGAATCCCTAAGGAACAGTTCTACTCTGTCCTTTAGCGTAGTTATAAGTTAGAATTGGCTTGGTTGTAATAGGTTTATGGTTACTTTGAGGACACATTTAGATAATACATGAAATCTCCTCAGTACACAATTCTCCTTGTGCAAAAGCGCAGGACTTATCCAGCTTTTTCAACTTTATATTGGGAGACCTTGTATTAAAAGTAACTCTATTCTAAACAGTTAGAATTATGTCCTCTACGTTTCTACTTTCAGACTCCCACTTTTTCCACAATAACTCCAAACTCAATGGTGTCTTCTAATAACCCTATGTGATTGATCTGAACCACGGTAAGCCCCTCGCCTCCCATATGCCCTTATGCTAAGGAATTTCAAAATGTAATTCCTTTTATTTACTGTAAAATGAAATCCTTAAAACAAAGTACTAGAAAAAACAACAACAAAGTACTAGGATACATATTTATTTGTATTATTTACAGTAAGTCCATACCTGTTTTTCACTTGAACAAGACAATAATTCATTTTATTGCTTATGAAAAACATAAATTGTATAAGTTTGAGACAAAAGGCATTATTAAAAATGTCTTTGCTGTTATAATGAAATCACTTAACCAACAACTAAAAATGCTTAGAGAGCATGTACTTAAAAAATTGTTGAAAATTATATCTTATTCTTTATTTTTTAACAATGCATTTTCCCTTAACGTTTCAGACTAAAATAATTACAAGCTCTACAAAAGAGCTGCTGTCTTTGAAACACAACTGTAGGTTAAGGCTAAACATTAACAAAATTAAATCATTTCAGTTTTTGAAAATCAGTTTTTTGAGGGAATTATGTTAGGTTTTGTTTGTTTACTTGTATTTTGATTCATCATTTTCAGCTCTGATTAAAAATCTATTGTAATATAGATATGCTAAAATAAGCCTTACAAGAACAAAACAAATGGGAAAGTACATTATCATACATACACATATGAATTTAAAATAAATAAAAATGGAAAACATGTATATTCATTAATGACAGATTACATGACATAATATATGGAGCCTTAAATTAGGGACTAGGTAAGAATGGATAGATAGAAAGATAACTCCATAGTGAAAGTATACAAATATATTTTTAACCTCATTGCCAAGGATCTTTCAGATTTCAATAAATGAACATAGAAAATAGATACCACAAAGTTTGCAACACCAACCTCCAAAAACTATCAGAGAAAGTAATTAGTAGAATTCTCAAGAATATTTTCTAAAACTTCCATTCTTGTATAGTTTCTAAGTAGCCATTTGTGCAAAGGGCTATCATTACACGCTTCCATAGCAGGGTGTTCAGAGCCATCGGCAGCTCCTTTCCTTACAGAGAGACAGGACTGGGTGATTTTGTGAAGAAGAGTATGGGTCTGTTTGACAAAGGAAATAATGAATAATGACAAAATCAACTATAAAGGCAGTAATCAATCAATCATCCTGGGCAACGTACAATTTCTTCTGAAGTATGAAAGGCACACATCACAATAATTGCATCATGGATCTGTAAGCTGCATCCTTTTAGATAGCTTTAATATCGATTTTATTCAGTAGTAGTAAATGGAGCTAAGGCTGATGATATGTAGCAAAGTCAGATTAAATGAGGAAATATTTGGACAAACATTTGGACACAAGTGTACATATAACATGCTTTTAATGCTAAATGACTTATTGTGTGACGACATTCAAAACCTGTGACTAATTAGTCTCCCTAGAGAGTTTGAAATTCTACTTCTTAGCCTCTTCCCTTACACTGACCTTGATTGAAAAGTGAGTGATAGGAATGAAGAGGCAGGGACTAATCGAATGTTAAGGCTTCCCTGTACTTTGTACATTATGAACCTCAGAACCTGTACTTTGTACATTAGGAACCTCAGAA